ACTTCTAGTAATGCCATTTTAGGAGATGTAGGTAGAAGTTATGTATGTGTACATTACGTTTCGTTTTATTAGCTATCGGTGTAGATTACTTCATATGGACAGGTCTAGATATCCTAAGGCCTGCTATGAAATGTTGAAACAGTTCGATGAACAGGGTAAACTTTTTTGGGTTTCACATATTCGTAAGCTACTCTTTGAAACTGGATTTGTTTATGTTTGGAATAGCCAAGAATGTGGTAATATCAAGATTTCCCTGCCTATGTTTAAACAGAGATACTGAGTCAAAAAAGAAACTTCACATTCTTTCTTCAGGGCACTATAAAAGAACAAGAGATGGTAAGATGGTTAAATTGTTATTATTTCATTGCTGAGATCTGTGTGATGTACTCAATACACTGACAGTGCCATCAGTTCCATTAGGCTACACCGCCGTTCCAAAACATGGGTATACAGAATGTTAAGTCACAAGAATCAAAATGCGAAATGTCTCAGTTCAATATCGTGTATGGCCGCCCCGCGCCTTCACCGCTGCCAAACACCGTCTCCTCATCGACTACCTGATGCTTGTGAACACGTGGTTGGGGATTCTGCACCATTGCTCTTGCAAGGCAGCGCCAAGTTCCTGCAAATTCTGAGGTTGGTTCCTAAGACCACGAAGCCTTCTCCCAAGTGCATCCCAAACGTGCTCTATTGGTTTAAGGTCAGGGGACCTCGATGGCCAGTCCATGACGTTGATTCCAGCGTTTTGAAGGAAATTTCGTGTCAACATCGCGGTATGCGGCCGAGCATTATCATGCTGGAACTGTAGGCCTGGGCCATGAGCCGCCATGAAAGGAACGAGTTCAGGGGTGAGCACCTGGTCGCGGTAAGCAGCAGCTGTGAGGTTTCCACGGATGACCAGAAGTCGGGAACGGTTGTTCCCACAGAAAGCACCCCACACCATGCAACTTCCGCCCCCGAATCTGTCGACTTCCTGTACACAACATTGGGCATACCGTTCACGACGTCGTCTCCAGACTCTATGCCTGCCGTTCGATGCGAAGATCACGTGATCGACTGCACGTGCAAAACCTGATTTGGCACTAACGTCATTTGCACGACGAATGGATGGGTTTGAGTGGGTTTTGCTAACGTTTTCCTAGATTCGAATTTGTTTATATGCCTGGAAGAAAGCCAAGAATGTGGTAATATCAAGATTTCCTGCCTATGTTTAAACAGAGATACTGAGTCAAAAAGAAACTTCACATTCTTTCTTCAGGGCACTATAAAAGAACAAAGAGATGGTAAGATGGTTAAATTGTTATTATTTCATTGCTGAGATCTGTGTGATGTACTCAATACACTGACAGTGCCATCAGTTCCATTAAGCTACACCGCCGTTCCAAAACATGGGTATACAGAATGTTAAGTCACAAGAATCAAAACGCGAAATGTCTCCAGTTCAATATCGTGTATGGCCGGCCCGCGCCTTCACCGCTGCCAAACACCGTCTCCTCATCGACTACCTGATGCTTGTGAACACGTGGTTGGGGATTCTGCACCATTGCTCTGTGCAGAGGCAGCGCCAATATCCTGCAAATTCTGAGGTTGGTTCCTAAGACCACGAAGCCTTCTCCCAAAGTGCATCCCAAACGTGCTCTATTGGATTAAGGTCAGAGGACCTCGATGGCCAGTCCATGACGTTGATTCCAGCGTTTTGAAGGAAATTTCGTGTCAACATCGCGGTATGCGGCCGAGCATAATCATGCTGGAACTGTAGGCCTTGGCCATGAGCCGCCATGAAAGGAACGAGTTCAGGGGTGAGCACCTGGTCGCGGTAAGCAGCAGCTGTGAGGTTTCCACGGATGACCAGAAGTCGGGAACGGTTGTTCCACAGAAAGCACCACACCATGCAACTTCCGCCCCGAATCTGTCGACTTCCTGTACACAACATTGGGACGTTCTGGTGATTTCGACGATTGCATTGCTCGCGCTATATCGGGTGAGTACGTGTGCGATCGGAGTGCACAAACAGTTTCACTGGTAGGGCGGGTGCCCAGTCGCTGTCGTGAGAAGTTTTATTGACAATGGAAATCGGGAAGTAAAGTTATATAAAAAGCAAACAAACATCAATATTATTTACCCGAGATCGTTAATACCACTTTAGATGCAAAATCAGTTGCCTTTATAACAAAAAATAGCAAGCGAAAATTCAGTAAGATCAGTCGTCTGCTGGTGACAGGCAATATATAAATAGGAAGCCACGTGATCACAACACTCCCTCGCAGTGCGGAGCAAAAAGTATGGCTCATCGTCGAAAACCCATACAAAATACCCGGATGTTACGAGCGGCCACTGTTTCGCCGATACGATGTCATCAACGCTATTTTTGTAGGAAACACTTGATATTTTTGTGTGAAATAGATGAATATATCCTTTATCACTCGAGGTTAGTAAAATAAAAACTTTAAATGATATTACAGATAAAAATTACGTTTTGTCTTAAATATATCCCAACACGAGCTGAATTCGACGTTCTGGTGATTTCGACGATTGCATTGCACGCGCTACATCGGGGGAGTACGTGTGCGATCGGTGTGCACAAACAGTTTCACTGGTAGGGCGGGTGCCCAGTCGCTGTCGTGAGAAGTTTTATTGACAATGGAAATCGGGAAGTAAAGTTATGTAAAAAGCAAACAAACATCAATATTATTTACCCGAGATCGTTAATACCACTTACGATGCAAAAATCAGTTCCCTTTATAACAAAACATAGCAAGCGAAAATTTAGTAAGATCAGTCGCCTGCTGGTGACAGGCAGTATATAAATAGGAAGCCACGTGATCACAACACTCCCTCGCAGTGTGGAGCAAAAAGTATGGCTCATCGTCGAAAACCCATACAAAATACCCGGATGTTACGAACGGCAACAGTTTCGCCGATACGATGTCATCAACGCTATTTTTGTAGGAAACACTTGATATTTTTGTGTGAAATAGATGAATATATCCTTTATCAGTCGAGGTTAGTAAAATAAAAACTTTAAATGATATTACAGATAAAAAATACGTTTTTGTCTTACATCGTCGAAAACCCCTGACACCGGGATATCTTGCGCACTGTATGATTTGTAAGAAGTATGTGTTAGAGTTGTTCCAGTCAAAGGATCTCGTGAGAGTGTACTATACATTTCGTTGTGCATTGCATAAATTCAATGTTCAGTAGCTACGTTTTAAACGTTTGAACGATAACCAACTGTTATGCTCAAAGTGTAGTGCGGCATCAGTTGAAGATGAATTTCATTTCCTTCTGTTATGTCCTCATTATAAAACATGTAGAGAACTGTTTGTACCACCATATTATTATACCAATCTATCCCATGATAAGTTAGTCTCACTAATGTCAACAAGAAATTCTGATCTTATAAAGAGGATATCACTGTTCCTCAAAGAAATGTATGATGTTAATTAGTCTTGCATTGTAAATCAATATATCTTGCCGACTGTATTACTTGTAAGAAGTATGCATTAAAGCTGTTCCAGTTAAAGGATCTCTTAAGAGTGTACTAAATATTTTGTTGTGCATTGCATAAATTGAGTGTTTAGTTACTACGTGTGTTTGGAAGATCATAACCAAGTGTGGTGCAGCATCTGTTGAAGATGACTTTTTTTTCCTTCTGTTATGTCCTTATTATAAGACATGTAGAGATCTTTTTGTACAACAATATTATAACAATCCATCCCTTGATAAATTTGTCTCAATGTTAACAACATATTCTGTTCGTATGAAGAAGATATCATTGTTTTTCAAAAGAAATGTTTCATATGTTAAGTGGTCTTGCATTGTAGATCAGTATATCTTGCGCACAGTGTGATGATGTTGGTATCCTAGCTCTATGGGCCAGGAGGCCTCAAATGCAAATAAACTTGTCACTTGTCACTTGTCAATATCTGAGAATAGCAATTTTCTGAAGTCATCATATAAAATACATTCGAAAAAGAAATGAAATGAATTTTCGCATGGCGCGCCACATTGACAGGCAATAATATCAGATAAGTTAACCCGAAACAGGTCAGAACTTAATGTGCTGCAACTATGCTTCAATCTAGTGTGCAATACGTTTGTGTATCTCTTACCGCAATTGTCATATGTCGGTGGCAACGCGGATTGCTCTGATACGACAGTTTTTAAAAGAAGATACCGACGGACTGTTTCTTACTTTTGGCGGTAGGCTTTTCCATTGACATAAATAAAAATATATTCCTGTCTGTACACAAGTATATTGAATCTACAAACTGATTCACATGCTAATTGTTTCCCACCTGTTGATTATAGTTCTATCTCTATATAGTAAGTAATCTCCAACAGTTTAATCTTCTTAATTTCTGCTTATTCTTGTTCCTTCGCTCCTTTTTCGAAGTACATGAAATGAACATGAAAATGTACATGAAAAGAAGCCTCTAAGTAAAATACACTCCCAAGTCATGGCATGTGTTCCCAAATCACGAAGCGTCGGGCATGTGCTAAAAATGTAAAATGCCACCCGAGTGATAAAAGAGTGAGTGAGTTTGGTTTTACGCCACGTTTAGCGATATTCCAGCAATATCACTGCGGGGAACACCAGAAATGGGCTTCACATATTGTACTCATGTGGGGAATTGAACCCGGGCCTTGTGCGTTACGAGTGAGTGTGTGAGTGAGTTTAGTTTTACGCCGCACTCAGCAATATTCCAGCTATATGGCGGCGGTCTGTAAATAATCGAGTCTGGACCAGACATTCCGGGGATCAACAGCATGAACGTCGATCTACGCAATTGGGATACGATGACATGTGTCAACCAAGTCAGCGAGCCTGACCACCCGATCCCGATAGTCGCCTATTACGATTAGCATGGGTTATGCGTTACGAGCGCCCGCCCCGAGGTATAAAAGAACTGGGTATGACTGTATGAACTGCTTCTGCGCCCAAAATATGGAGACAATCGTGTTCGGCGTCAACAATAGCTATTTTTCTGTTTCAGGTCTTGTGTTCGACCCAATCAACCAGCTTTGCAACTGGCCCAACAACGTCGCACCGCCCTGTGGCACGTGTCTCTCCTGTTAATAAATATAACATGGCGGCATATTTATGTCATTTTAATTTGTGTTGCTGATCAAAGGACATCCTGTTATAGTGAGTGAGTGAGTTTAGTTTTACGCCGCTTTTAGCAACATTCCAGCAATATTACGACTGGTGATACCAGAAAAGGGCTTTCCATCATTGTATCCATGTAAGGAATCGAGCCCGGACCTTCGGCGTGACGAGCGAACGCTTTAACCACTAGGCTACCCCACCGCCCCTTGTGCATATGAAGATGTGACTATAATCTAGATGCAAAGCCAAACGTAATTCTCCTTATGTATTCGCCTGTTATTGTAATATTGGACTTATTGTAAAATGGTATTTATAGAAGAAAGCACTGAAATTTTGACTATGCATTAACATTGAATTGGAGCTTATGTATTTCATTTCAGATTCTACTTTACACCGTTTAAGTGTACCATTTGGTCACACTCATTAAACAGGACAATGAAACGTCTCTTCAAGGCAGCTAGTGTTGAGGGCAAAAGACGAACCATTCTTTAAGGGCCAGGGGTGGTGGTGTAGCTCCGTAGTTAAAGCGTTCGATCGTCACGCCAAAGACCCGGGTTCGATTCCTCACATGGGTACAATGTGTGAAACCCCATTTCTGTTGTCCCCAGCCGTGATATTGCTAGAATATTGCTTAAAGCTGTACAAAACCATGTTTACTCATATTCACAAAAAGATTCTTCAGTCATATACCGACCGCGACCATATGTTTAGCAGCGATTTCGTATAGATATGAAAAGGGTTTGCCGCTCTCATTGGCTACAGTGTTGTGTGCTTAATGCGCGTGCCGAATCTAGTTCTACGCGATAGGACACTGTGAAATCCATATTAATATCCAGCTGAGGTGTCCGACCCTGCTTTCTGACCTGAGACCAACATCTCGGGACCGACGTGTCAGAACTAATCTGGACGCCTAAAAAGAAGCTCATAGTGTCTAACTGCCACCATGTTGTAGTCACTGCCTGCAGCTGCTTGAGAACGTTTTAGGTGCTTTGGCACCGTACCTCACGAAGAGTATACCATCAGGTTCTACTACACTAAATCAGAAACACTTGCTCGCTGAGTAAGTCCGCTTGTAAACAGCTGAAGAGACGGAGTCATGTGAGAGCTTTGATTGGATGAAATAGTGCAAGATGCTTATGATTTTTAAAAGCACATCAATCCGGTAATTAAAACTGACCACACTTTTACGTATTTAGTGCTGTCATTTTTATCACCATGACTTATGCTTATATGTGTTCAATATTTTCAAGTATCATTCGTCATAACGGTACAAGAATCTGTATCGAAACGTCGCACTCAAGAAATATTGTTATCCATAAAATTTGTTCTATATTGTACGTCTCAACTTCTAAAATGCTACTCAAGCAGGTTCTTCGGTCAAGCTTCGTATAACAGATAAAGTATAACAAGTAAATAACTAATATGAGTTACATTGAACATGTAAAATACATGTAATCTAAACACATTCACACCTTATTGGAGAATTTTAAAAGATATATTTCTTACGTGCTTTTTATTTGAATCTGAGAACAAAATTAAAATCCAGTTTGTGGTGAGAAAAGTCTCCCAGTTGGTCTTTAATACACAAAAGCAAACGTTGTGGCACACAAACAACACACAGAATCTGTATAATACTTTTACTGTCGCGAAAGAAACCTCACAGCATTCCACTTCCCCTCACAATCATTGGCGTCCTTGCTGAAGCCGTTATCCCACCCCAGACCATAACGCCCTCACCTCCAGACTGTCAAACATTGATTGTTTTGCTGAAAACGTAAGTGCAAAATGGTGTTGCTACAGACGTCGAATCGACTCGCCACGTCACGCTGGGAGCTACCAGACTGAGGCATATCTGTAGCGTTCCATCTGTCATTTTCCCAAGGGCAGGGTATGTCGAACTTGTTACAGAACGGTGTTTAAATAGTGCAATCTTGAGAAATGCAGAAAAAAAACCTGACAGGAAATGATAAACATGTGGTTGTCTGACATTTTACAGAGGACATTCCTAGCCATAATTTAACGAATATAGCACGCATTTTTGCAAATTTCGAACAAATCTAACAACGTCTTGGAAATGTTACTTTTACCATTTTAACTCACTGTTCCTCTGGTTCAAATCCAAACTTTCAATCACAAGAATACCAATGAGAAAATCCATGTCACAATAACTTACGCCTCTGAGTATATATGTTTATGTCGAGTTTAATGGAATACCTGTAAAATCCTTGTCGTTTTCCTTTAACACTGTTAAATTCTTTTTGAAAGGATACACATCCACTGTCTATTTGGTAAATGTGTTTTCGGCAACACAAGTCATAGTTTACTATGTATTTGATACGGAAGTACAAGAGAGATACCCTCACACTCACACGACCTCTCAGCTATCCCGTGAGTGAGTGAGTTTTGTTTTACGCCGTTTTAATATGCCAGCAATGACACGGCGGGGGACACCAGAAATGGAGCTATCACTAGGATACAAAGAAGATACTGCTCTACTGACGAAAATAGTATTTTTGCATTAAAGATAAAGAATAAATTAAATTTCAAGTTCGTCAGCTATTTTAGTTAATAATCTTATCAGAAAACAATACTATCTTTGAAGCAAACATCTGGAATTATATCAGAACTTCGAGAATTCTATCGTAGATAATATCAACTGTAGTCTGTCAGCATAGTGAACAGAAACCAATCGTCCAGGTGAAACAAGAATGTATGCTTCATGGGTATCAATCCTGCTGAGGGGTTACAATAAATAAAGTAACGAGTTCATAATAAGACAAAAATGGTGAACATAAACACTCGCATGCTATACACATGTGACTGATCATATACTTATTAAGCACATTGCTATTCTATTTCTTTTCTAAACATTATTACCTATAGAAGATTTGTGGTGCTCTGATGTTTAACTGTCTTGACAACGGGCTACCATTCTTCCTACAGATTATCATGTTACATGGATCCATATTGGAGCAATCACCTGACAATATATATGTCATGGTTGTCGTCGTTTATAATCATTTACTCTCCAAAGCCAATGGACTAGTGAAGCTGAAATTTCGCATGCTTCTTCCCTAAATGATGAAACCTGAACTTGTTCATGACTTCGAGTCCGATTCGCAATATGGCCGCCACGTCAGCCATATTGAAATGCCTATTCAAAAAGAGTTTTAGGCTCTGAAAATATTACATTTCCTGAAACTGCAGGGTTGAAGGTGCTGAATCTTAGCATGAATGTTATCCTCATGGTGTCAGCATATTTCGTTATTTAGAATCTTCTGTTAGTGTTTTTGCAGTTATTATTTTTTTTAAACTTCTCTGGGTGTCTTCGCGAACACCTGGTCTATTCATTTAATCACTGTTTCTGGAAAAAGTCTAGCTTGGGATTTTCATTGCATTAACATTCAGGTTGAGACTGATGTAATGTGTGAAAAGTCAACTGATGTGAAAAAATTAGTCACTTGTTTCATATGTGCTGGTACTCTTGTACTCAGTGCTTGTGCAGAAAATTTTGGAATAGCAATGCTGGCAGCAACGTAAGTTACGAGGCTGTCGTTGACATTTGAAAGTTGACGTCACATCCAAGATAGCTACACCGCCGAGACTATGTTTGTGTTCTATTTAAAGGTTATTGTTTTATTCTTCCCAAATCCCTTGTTGTTTTTGTTGTCTAACGCCGAACTCAGCAATTTTCCAACTACAATGTATATGGCGGCGGTCTGTAAATAATCGAGTCTGGACCGGACAAACTAGTGATCAACAGCATGAGTATCGACCTGCGCAATTGTGATACGATGAAATGTGTCAACCAAGTCAGCGAGCATGACCACCCGATCTCGTTAGTCGCCTCTTTCAACAAGCATGGGTTGCTGAAGACCAATTCTAACCCGGACCTTCACGCCCCCACCCCTCAATACCTACCCCAATCCTTAGAGATGCTACCTCGCTGAAGTGACAAGTGGTTAGTTGTGGACAAGTCAAATAATGACCCATCTGTAACATAATAATAAATTATCGAGATAATTAATCTACAGTTATTGGGGATTTTATCACATATGCTGTCGCGTCCTGAGCCGGAGTGAAACACACGGATCACAACACTCCACCCGCATCCGTCTCTACACGGATCCAGTAGTATTTGACAGCGTCTATCCAGTGATCCGATACACGTTCCATCCTCTGAAGAGCGGAGCAAAACCACCGGGTGATGATTTGTACAGAAGACAATTGGGTTGAGTCTTGAACGGCCCATAACCCAGAACTACACAATCGGGATTGTAAAGACAATGCAGAACACACACTAATTCGTCCTCGACCTTCAGCAGACTCAGCAACTCAATATCTCGGGATGAATCCGGTGTCTTTAACGTGGCTTCCTTGTCAACGATCTGGGGACTCGTAGGGTCATACACGTTGTTCACTGGGAAAGACAAAAAACGTTAGATCTTGTTTTTCGGAACAAGGTACAATCAAGGTACAATCTGCAAACACAGACGTTTTAATTTTCATCAGCCTGTAATGCACTATGAAAAAAAAAGAAAAATATATGTCTCATGTCACATTATGAATATTGGTCTTCAGTACAATGGCCTATATATCGCCGCTTTGTAGAAATCGATGAGCATGGAGTCAATCACTGGATTGTCTGGTTCAGTAATTTACAGATCGCCGTCATACAGCTGAAACATTGCTGAGAGCGGCATTAAACAACAGACAAACCTTATCGGTTCAGAACAAGTATGTTGTCTGAGTGAGTGAGTGAGTATGGTTTTACGCCGCTTTTAGCAATATTCCAGCAATATCACGGCGGAGGACACCAGAAATGGGCTTCACACATTGTATCCACATGGGGAATCGACCCGCGTCTTCAGCGTGAGGAGCGAACGCTTTAACCACCAGGCTACCCAGCCGCCACAGTATGTTGTCTGAAAAAACCGACCGCCACATGGAAATAATTAATTGAAAACTGCATTCCGTAAATCAACGCTGCCTTTAATGAGATGGATTTACAATTGAAATAATATATATTCAGGTTTCAAGAAAAGCAAGATTTATGGATGTTAACTTCTTAGCAATATTCCAATATTCCTTTATTCCAATAAAGACATTGACATCTATAAAACTTGCTTTTCTTATGTATTCCACTTCTAAATGTCCTTTTGAAAGGCTCATTCAGGGTTCGATCCACAAAGCATTCGTAACGTTACGACCTGTCATAACTCTACAGTTTACCACAGACTTACGAATGTCGTTACAGTACGAACGCTTTGTGGATCGTAACCCAGATTATTGTAGTAATACGGGCGGTAGCGTAGTCTAATGGTTAAAGCGTTCGCTCATCACGCCGAAGACTCAGGTTCGATTCCCCACATGGGTACAATGTGTAAAGCCCATTTCTGGTGTCCACAGTCATGATATTGCTGGAATATTGCTAAAAGCGGCGTAGACTACTAAACTCACTCACTCAATATTGTCATATGTGGTGACCCAGCTATACCCACCTGGTTCGTTGTCAGAGGTTATTTCACAGACATAATAGTAAAGTTCTTCACACTCTTTGTCCTCCCATTCATATTTTTCATTAATCGAGGTACAGTTCTGTTCATCCCCGCCATTCGGCTGGTTGTGTTCCCAGTTGAACCAAGTCACGTTGTTGCCGTCAGTCCACACGAAGTCCCCTTCAGCTGCCAAATCGTTCATTCCAAACCATGTGTACTCTTTGTTTCTGTAAGGTAATACAAGGATATCATGACATGTTATCAACCAATTCACCAAGCATGATCAGCGTACCATTTAGTTATCCAATCGCTTTGGGTGTTATGGTAGCCTAGTGGTTAAAGCGTTGGCTCGTCACGCCGAAGACCCGGGTTCGATTCCCCACATGGGTACAATATGTGAAGCCCATTTCTTGGCTCCCTTTCAACCATTTTAGTCGAATCATATTTATAATACTAGCAAATTCCATACATATAGTCAACAAAGAATGTAATGAAACAACATTAGAGCATTTTATTGCCAGTGCCATAACAGGGGCGGTGGGGTAGCCCGATGGTTAAAGCGTTCGCTCGTCACGCCGAAGACCCGGGTTCGATTTCCGACATCGGTACAATGTATGAAGCTCATTTCTTGTGTCCCCGCCGTGATATTGCTGGAATATTGCTAACAGCGGCGTAAAACTATACTCACTATTCAGTCGACTCTTTCGTCCTGGATCGGTTACTCGGGCCTATGTGTAATCCAGACCCCAATAGGTTTCTATTTAGCGCTCGATAACACTGGCTACCCGTGAAGTTGCGCGACAGAATTGGCCTTCAACAACCCATGGCTTGTCGTTAGAGGCGAACAGTGGGATGCAGTGGTCTAGGCCCCCATCCACAAAGCGTTCTTAACGTTACGAACAAAGCGTTCGTAACGTTACGACCTGTCGTACGTCTATAATTTATCATAGGCTTACGAATGTAGCGCTAAGAAGGCTTTGTGGATCAGGACCCAGGCTCGCTGACCTGGTTGATGCACCGAATCCAAATTAGGTAGATCAATGCTCATGATGTCAGTCACGAGTTATGGCACTGAGTGAGTGAGTGAGTTTGGTTTTACGCTGCTTTTAGCAATATTCCAGCAATATCACGGCGGGGGACACCAGAAATGAGCTTCATACATTGTACCAATGTGGGGAATCGAACCCGGGTCTTCAGCGTGACGAGCGAACGCTTTAACCATCAGGCTACCCCACCGCCCCTGTTATGGCACTTGCAATAAAATGCTGTAATGCTGTTTCATTTCATTCTTTGTTGACTATATGTATGGATTTTGCTAGTATTATAAATATGATTCGACTAGAATGGTTGAATACCGGTATGTGGCCCAACTGAAAAGGACGATGAATACAACAGATAAACATACTACTCAAAGCATGTCAACAACATTCAAACAAGGACGGTATTTCCAATCTTATCTTACCTCACACATAAATGTCGTTTTCTGATTGGCTGAGCGCTCTTCTATTATTTTCAATGTACCCCGCTTACAAGCGAGTAACATTTGCTATGTACCCCGCTTGGAATGCCGAACTCTTTGGGTACTTCGTAGTAGTAATTCTTTATCTCGAATAACATTGAATCACGTATGATGTACGGAAATTACCGATATTTTGCAAATGCAAATCGATGGAAGGGAGATAACTCTAAATTTGTTTTTCTTGTCTTCTGGTACTCCATACTATGATTCGATACCCGTGCTTCAAACAGTTCAAAATTACCATTGAGGTGTTCGGTAAGATAAATACGTTGTTCACTGGGCCCTCGGGTTCAGGGAACACAAACAAACATAGAGGGTACATCAGCCCATGACCCCCTCGAGACCAGTGAACAACTTGTAATATCGACTAAGGTAATGTGATCAATGTTGGGGTAGCAAATCGGCCTCTGTCAGCGTATTTGAAGGACGGGTTATCTCAGAATAGTAAAAGAACTAAAACAGATGGAACATGTTAAGTGATAATGGTAAGTCGTGTAATGTGACCTTTGATTTGACTTGATGTAGTCCTGTTGTTTCATGCTTTCAATCTTTGCCAGCGTCCCACCATTGATCTCGCACACATGCAGGGCGTCCAGCCAGCTGAGCTGGTCACGTGACACGGTGAGGCAGGGGTAAAGGTCAGGGTCAGTTGAAGTCACGCCTTCCAGAGGACAATAGGAGT